TGTCATGAGTTTCAACATCAAGAAGCGCAACTTTCTTCTGGCCAGTGTATATCTGCGGCTTGGCGACGAGTTAATTCAATCTTTGTGGCTTTTCTGGCCGCACATCATAAATTGAGTCATGCTATATCCAGCAACATGTGGCTGCCGATCATTTGAGCACCCCATCTTGGCAGCCGGTCATGGGTTGGTACGTCGTTCGGACCGGGTGGTTTTTCATCGACGACAATAAGATCATTGCCAAACACATGACCTTTCGTATTATGATGTATTATGTATTATGATGTATTATGTATGATTCTGACCCCGCAAGGGGTGGTTGATGGACACCCCTTAACCTCTGAGGGCTATCAATTTCCAGCCCCTGGTCCGGGTGTCCTGGTAAATATATGAAAAATAGAACACGACAACTTCTTCGGCCACCCCCAGGCGTTCTGTGTGAATCTCTGTTCGCCTCTTTCGTTGCTTTTTCCACGAAACCAAAGCCATCACCGCTCCGTCTCTCAGTCTGGAACCTTCACCTCCTCGTCCTCTCCTCGCGCTTCGGACCTGGGCGCTCGGTCGGCGCCGGTGGAGTTCGGGACGTTTGGGGGATGACCTGGGCCCAGCTCATCCAAGCACAACACGGTCGCGCCGAACGAAGCTGTGGGGATTGGAGAGGAACCTCTCTGGACCGTTGAAGCTGGGCGTTGAGAGCAGCACGCCTTGGCATCCGTCTCCTGGCCGAAGCGACCTATATGGATGCACCCTCCATGTACCGGCGTCGTACCGCCACGCGCAGTCACGCGCGGCGTTTTCGGGAGAAATCCAAGAAAAGGCACAGAAAAAAAGACCGTGGCAGGCAAAACAGCATGATGGCACGGAGAAAACGGATTCCGGGTGACAGGTCAACTCCTCCCGGTCCGGGTCCTTCGCTTGGATCTGCAGTCGATGGAAGTGAAACCTCGAAGAGTTGACTGCAGCGAGAGGTTGCCACGGCATGTCGTGCCCGGGTGAAAAGTAGAAACATGTCACAATCTAATAATATGCTCAAAAGATCTCAAAAGGCAGCCTTTAAAATCTTTTAGAGGCAAGTTTATATTGTATCTGGAATGTATCTGGATACATCTGGACTCCTAAAACCACCTGGAATCCAGTCAAACGTACACCTGGACTCCTAGAAATCCTCGAATCCCCTGCTGGATGGGGCATGTGAAGAGCTTGTGCCATTCAATAGTGAAGCTATGCTGCATATGATCATATGTGTCACTCAAAATGAGCAATACAAACATTCAGCTGACAAGTCCTAGTTGGTCCTTCCCAGCTTGCGCATGAAAAGTGATACACTGTATCACATCACTCAATTGGAATCCAGCCGATGACAAACTGGAAAGTGTTTCCCAGCAAGCATTTATAGTGGGATAGTGGGACAGCTCTCGCGTGTAGAGTTGCAAAAAGCAAGGTTTTTACTTACGCCATATTCGCTCTCACCCACGGGTAAACTTCATGAAGATGGTTTGTGCCTCACCAGCAAGCTGCACTCCATGCCGCCAACTCGTGGACTGAGCAAAACTCAACATCAACCACTCCAGGCCACCCCACTCAAGCGCAGGGCTTCCATATCGAAGCATCGGCACAAATCGATGCATCCAATCCACCACCTGGACGAGGAGGGCGGCGCTGGACGTGGGCGATTCGCCCCCACGTGCTTCGCTGGATATGGGTCGAGACGGGAAGCGCCTGGTGCACTGGGACGCCTCTTCTGGACGCCTGGAACCTCTTTGACCCGGTTCGGTGGTTTGCACGAAGAGCTCGCTAAGAGCGCTGACCCAGATCTCGCAAGAGTGCTCCGACCAAGCTGCGACCCGTCGCTTGTTCGCGTGTTCGACCCCTTTTTCGACTCCTTCTTTGTCATCCAAAGGTTGAAGGTCCCGCATTTCGAGTTCGTGAAACACCACGCAGGACTGGGGATCACCTCTCTGGGGATCTTAACAAGTTTAAAGCACCCTAACTATCTTGCTATTCTCTTGAAGGTTATATATAGGTTATACATGACTGGGGAGGAAGTCAAACCGATCCGAACCCATGGGCTGAAGTGAAGTACCTCGTCTTTACCACCGTGGCCGTGGCGACAGCTCGGTCGCGCGAGTTTCTATAGGCCCCGGAACCACTGGGTTGTCGCGGCACACCACGCGGATTGCCGTGATGCTCCTGGGACAAGTCTGCAAAAGCTGGAGGACATGGACTAACATACTGTGATACCCTTCTGTAGTTAAACCCTTCTTCCTCAACTTTGGGTGGCCTGCTGTTCACAAGCCGTTGAATAACGGTGTTCGATGTTTGGTGCAAAGCAGTCTTTCAGGCTCTCTTTGATCTCAGAGCAAAGTCTTAAGAATCTTAAGACTTGCTTAGACTTGTGAAGTGCAATGGGAACAAGCTTGAACTGTCTGCGGATCCAAATTGATGATGACACAATTGTGATAGGCTTTGGCGCGCTGGTCTCCATCAATATTGTCAATAACTATAAGCTTCACAATGACGGCAAAGCAAACATGGTACCTGAAGCTTCGAACTTCGTCCCTTTTCCAATGGGGAAGACGAACCATGCATCAGCAAGAAAGCTACTAAGTAATCACAAGTCCTTGTGTGAAGTTCAAGAGCCATATATATACCCTACGCACCCAAACCCTATATTTTGTAGGGGCTTGGGTTTTCCATCGATCCTACAAATTTATAGGGTTTGGGTGCCTATAGGGTACTTAAATTAAAAAACTATAACTATATATAAAACTGTGATAATTATACACAAATTCGCTCATCCCATCCTGTACCACAAGTCTCTGGTCTGTCGAGCCGGTCCCTCGAGTCCTCGGAACCCATAGAGTCCCCAGCATCAGCCGCTCCGCGCGCCGAGCCATGGCGCCCCGCGTTCCACGCCCGCAGCGTGGAAGCTCCGGTGTGTGTTTGCTTGCGACGTGTACGAAAGACGATCGATACGATCGCGCAAGTGATGCGTTTGCCCCCTTCACCATGGATTTTGCGTAGTCAAGCATGTCAAGCCCCAAGCCACACAATGAAGAGGCCACTTCTGATGATTCATGTGAATACGTGTCCAAGAGGGCGCTGAACTGGATGATATTGTCACCAACCCTTATCATGGCCACGAATTCATGGACCTGGCTTCTTCACGGATGTAGCACCGGTGGCCTCTCGTCTCTCTTATGATTGCATTCTCGGCTCCTCTATCATCTTGGAGGTCTCCTCTCTCATGGCTTCGATGTGAGAGATGTGCTGCAAAGAAGGCCCGCACAGCTGCGGCTTGTCGTGTCGTGTAAACACACATACAGCAGCTTTAGCTGCTCTACCAGCTTCTTCAAAGTGATCTTTGCCAATTTTCAATGGCTCTTTTTTAGGCCAATCAGTGAAATCAACTCAGGGTTTTGAGCCAGGTCACTTAAAAGAACTAGTATATCTCATATCTATAGTATTATACTTGTCTATCGTTGTATATTGTATACTACATTTACAGTACAAACAAACACAAACAAAAATACATTCTGTCCTCGCACTTTTCTTGACTTGTCAGGACATCGGCCAGCAAATGTGTTCATCTTTCGAAGACTCAGAGGTTTCCACCAGCACGATCCACCTGGGCCATGCAGTGGTGTTGGTGGTTCTCCGAGAACAAAGGACACGGCCGACGGCAGAGTCATGAACGCCTCGGAAAGCACAGCACTTAGGAGTTAGGACACTAGTTGGGCCAAGGTACTTTCAGTTGAGCACGTTTAGGATACAAGGACAGAATGACAAGCCGCACAGTTGCACAGTAACATGCAGCGTTTTTGAAGTGGCGCTCAAGTAGGAACATGAACTCGGAAAACACTCCAAGGACCACTAATTAGTATCCTACCCCCGGAAGGCTCTACCTCAACCGAGCTTTCCTGATTCCCTGTATATCTGCATCATCGGATCCAATAGCCTTTCCCGACACCCACACCTATCGTCCCGCATGAGGCTCCCCCACATCCTTGCACGCTCAAGATGGCTCAAAGAGGTCGGTCAAGTGGCCCTGGCGGCCCTGGCGACAGGACATGTTCACCGCAGCGGCCCTGGCATACGATTCCCTGCCGGTGTGGCCGGTCAAGGACATGCATGAGCATAATCACACGACTCATAGAGTGAGAACATCTTGCAAGTGGAATTGGAACATATCGGGAGACACCAACTCCAACAAGTGAGGCTTCGTCGCACCACCCACACACACAAACATGGCCAAATTGGTTGAAGAATGCCTGTGCACTTGAAACAACAAGACCAAGTAAAACACCACACTGAGCTGGGGTGAGCTTGCCTTGCAACTTGCAACTACGAAGAGAAACCAACATAATGCATTGAATTGGCCAGCTACGAAGAGAAACCAATACATGCTAATACAACTACAAGAAATACAAGGACAACCTAAGAGTATCATAGAGTCTGCTATTCGAGGCGACCTTTTAGCTTTAATGGGCCAGCTCTCCAATACACCAAGCACCTTTGGTCTGCACCTTATCACTTTTCACGAAACACATAGTTTCTTGCACGACTTCAAACTCTGGAAGCAAAACGCTCTGACGATTCAGGGGTTGTTGATCAATCTGCGCTCTTCATTGCCAACACCATCTGCAACGAGTGAAGAACATTCGAGAAACCAGACACCTACCAAGTCAAAGAGGGTAGTTAAACCACCAAAACTGCATGAAAGAACTTGTACAATCTAGTAATCATGGTAACACAGCACCATGTTTCACAAATGTAAAAACCATGTAAAAAAAAAACCGTTAAAAACCTGAGTTTGGCCTTCTTTCAATCAACCCAGCAAGCCCAGGATTTCCAACAGACTCCTCCCGCCGGCAGTCCTCACATCTGCCACCGCTGGAACGTCTGTCGGAACGGGCAGCTCGAATCGAACCCGTCGGACGAGCACCAGCAGTTGCCCTAAGTTCAACATACATGACACACACACACACGTCGTAAATGGTCTATCAGCCTGGCAAAGGAACAACTTAGGACTTCGTTTAGAAAAAAACAAAAACGTGATGCAACGAACTCGAGAACATTCATATCAAAGCATCTCGATCCTCTTGCTAGACTCACGAGCCATGCTGGTGTTTTCACACCGGGCTTGAACCCTTGACATGACTGGGCAGTATGACTCCGATATCATCTATCTCCAAGCAAGAATTGATCTGGCGATGGTGCACTCCGACCAAGCTTCGTCCTCCCCCCACAAAGGATCGGTCCTCTCCGGCCGGTGCCGTTTTCAGCTGTCGCTTTCAGATTCTGAACCGACCCGGAGTCTCGGTGCCTTTCAGTCGCGCGCTTCTTCTTCGCTGACGGGGGAATGGCAGCGCAGGGATGTTGGGCACGGAACACACTCACCTGTTTGCAGCATCTTTCAGCACGTTCGCCGGTTTTTGTGCCCACTGGCACGAGATGCCTGGCTTTTCTCTACAGTAGAATGCGAACGAGCTGCTGATCAGCTTATGACTTCGTTGGACACTTTGGTGACAGTTTTCTTTTCAAGTCGCACTGCGCACTGCACAAAGGACCTGTACAGCGTCTGCAAAAGCCGCTATGGGCGCTGCACGCCGGGGCCAGGATACAGTACGTGGCTCCTGCCCCAGCCGCCGCACCCAGAAAGCTTGTCCCTTCGTGACGGAACAAAGGCTCATTGACCACTGCATGAGGCTGTGAGGTGATCTTCAAATGCCACCCTTGCGGCACGAAGCCTGAACTTCAGGCTCACCTCTTCCGCCTTCAAGCTGTGGTGCCTCTAAATGGGGCAGCCTCCAAAAACTGCACTATTCAATTGCTTCGCCATCCCAGGTAAGGCTCGGTGGGCTTTCTTGGGGGGTTGGAGGTCCTCGGGAGGCCACAGCAGTGGGAGGGGGTTTTCTGCGCAGGTCGCTGACGAGAGGTCAGAGGAGGTGGCAGTGCACCCGACAGAATGTGGCACATCTCCTGAAGCTTCTCAGGAACCTCTTCGGCGAGTTTCCAAGAGTCACGGCCAGACTTATCCTCCAATGGTGCAAGAAGAGGAGCTACAAAAAATCACAAACATCGGTGTCATTAAGGATTAAGGAAGCCGGCCAAATCACATGGTAATGGGATGTTATGGGTTGCCCTTGTTTGCCACAGGTACCATAAACACTGACATCCAAAAATGAATTCAAAAGAACTGCAAACATTGGGCAGGATGATTTGAATAACCGTACAACCAGGGCAGGTTTATCCGACTCGGTCCTTCTGTTCTGGATCGGCATCATTTGCGACCAAAAGGCGGACCATGTCCAAATCACCGCCCTTGATGGCGAAGTGAAGCGGTGTCCAGCCTTCCTTTTTCGCACCCTTGTTGACCTCCACCCTCTTCGCAAGAAGCAATTCAGCCACCTGCCATGCAAAAGCTTGTCGGATATCCTGATGCTTTGATGTGTTGTGTCACACTTGTTCACAAATGGCTTTCTCGGATGAATGTTATATAACAAATGTGTGCAGGAAGAGATGGCTTGCGTTCCTCAGCATTCCTGCTTTAAATCTCAAACACTGGGTCAGATTGTTTTAATGCAATTGAAATCAGTTATAAATCATTTCAATCCATGTGGGTCAATTCCGCATACATCATGTCGGGTGTAATCATCTCACTGGCGCAAACCCCACTCCCGCCACTCCCGCCTCTGGATGCCTGTTCTGCACTGAAACTGAAAGCGGAGTAGTCTCATGTCCGGGTGTCTTGTTTGCGTCTGCTTTCTCCTCCAAGAGCTTCTCCACGATCCCAGAATGCCCATTGGATGAAGCAATGTAGAGCGGGGTCGCATTACTTGCAAGAGCTTGCTCAACATCTGCACGCTTCTCCAACAACTGCCCCACAATTTCCGTGTGTCCCTTCCTGAGTTCTTTCATACTCTGTTATAAGGCTCAGAGGACTGTTCCACAAAAAAGGAAAACCTGTTCCCTCAAAGCAAGACTCTGGCAGGCGATGAATAGAGGTGTAGCTCCATTCTTGTTCCGATGGTTGACCTCAGCCCCTTTTCCTAGCAAGTGAGGCACCAGGCTGGTGTGGCCATTTTGACAAGCGATATACAAGGGGTTCGTCTCGTCGTGCTTTGGCTGGTTGACCTTCGATCCATTCTCGAGGAGCTCAATCACAACCTTTTCATGGCCACCTGTGGCACAGGTCAACCAACCCGGCAAATCCACGCGAAACGGGCTTCAAACATGAAGTTTATGGCCGAATTGCCATTCATGCACTTCCATGAAATAACATGAATCAATGCGGAATCACCATGTATAACCGGACTGATGACTAGAAAAGCCGTCAGGAAGGAATTTGGCCATTGTACTTATAGGCAAAACATCATCGAATACCACCCCCTATCCTGCACAAAGAATTCCAAACACTTTGCTACTTTCACCTGATCATCCTGCAATGGAACAGAAACACATCTGGACACATTCACCTTCCAGGAGGGTCCATACTATGGCCAAAACCACAAAGGATCAAAGGACGATAAGGCTCAACCAGGCTGAACCTCAAAACCATCTGAACCTCAAAACCATTTGAAACCCCGTGGCCTCACTGTGGCATCTACCTCACCATGATGCCCACCCCTCATCCACTCGTCCTCCACGAAAGGTGAAAAATCCATCCGCCTTGGCAAGCAATGAACAAGGGCGTCTCCAAGGTGTCCGTCAGGACCAGATCCACACCTCAGATCCGCGGCACGCTGCGCCCGGGACATTTGTCACGGGTTCTGTGCCCGATGAGTCTCACCTCCTACCAGGCTGTCGAACTCCAACAACATGACCCATCCGGACGGACGGCCTCTAGCAGGGAAAGCCAACTGGTATGGATCTGTGCTTTGACCCCCTCCTATTTTAAGGAACATCACCAGGTATATTCAAGAATTGCGCCATGAATCTTCATGCCATTGCATATGTTTTTCTCACTTCTAGCAACCCTTGCAGCTTTGGTATATACAAACACCATGCACGCAAACACGGGGCATGATGCCCAATAATATATCGTGAACAAATTTGGAACATGACGGTTGCCACCGTTGTCCACCGGAATGTTCATTAGTTAGGCCAGTGTAAGGGCAGGGGGTATGCACAAACTTCATCATGCCCAAGGGACTGGCACGGAGTGCCAAGAGATGGGTCACCACGTTGGCATGTCCATTTTGTGATGCCAAATACAAAGCTGAAGCACCGCCTTCCTTCTGGTGGTCGATCACCTACAATTCAGGAAATCACTTGGATATCTTGGATTATGTTTGTATATGATGCAAAACTAGTCAAGCTGCTAATCAAAGGGCATCTCTGTCTGCAAACTGAACATCGCATTTTCGGAACCATCATCTCTCAATCAGCAAGGTTTTGAGCAAACAGTTGATCATCTTGTCCTGTTTGGACCTCTCATCACCAGTGTCAGCTGTGTTTTCATGCGCCATGCTGCGCCTGTGCCAATTGGGTCTGCGAGAGAGCTTCCAACTCCTTCGTGCAAACCGATATGGAATCAACACGTGCAGCACCGCATGTAGTCCACGGTGCGGTTCGCGGTATTCTGTGGCAATTTGTGCCCTGAAACACGCTGTGTATCATGTATTAATCGAAGCCTGTTGAAGTGATTCGACAAACCAAATCATCCAAATCCAAGGGATGCACACGGATGTGCGTGCGCGCACACACACACATGTGCTGGTCAATCATCAGGGCTACATGGATGGCATGGCTCCAAAAGGATGACCATATTCACAAATAGGTGGTGAACTCATGTGAACTCCACTTCCCTGATTGTTCCAGGGAGTGTCCATGAACGAATGCGCACTACAGTTACAAGTACTGTACGTATCGATGTATAATTTTATGGAAGGAGAAACCTTGCGTACTGCGTAATTGAGAATAGTTTGTGCTTGGTCTCCCTGTCCTTCGTCAAGAAACACACCACCTCCATGTGGCCATTCTGGGACGACACGAGCAGGGGCGTAGATCTGTCTTTGGTTTTCAAGACCAGCTGTTGCAGGGCATCAAGAGCCGCAGGCCTGACAGGAGAGGATTTCAAAAAACCCTAACCTCGTGCCTTAAGAGATCAATTATGATCCATTTACCGGCAAATCATTCCCTGCAAGTCCGAAGTGCAAGTTAAACGAGTACTTATCGAAAAGAACAACTTTTACGAGTACCTGTTGTTTGTCGGAACCCAAGCCCTTTTATCCAAGCGAGTTCAACATCACCACTAACGGCACATAGAACCTGCAAAAATGCACCCAATCTGTTAATTCATGCAAACAAAACAACTGTTAAAAACATTTTAAAGATCCTGGTCACGATTTCCGAATACATTGCAAACATATTGCAAACATTAAGGGGACTAAGGACCTGTTACGCTCCAGTTGCGGTTTTGGAAGATCATTTGCAGTAGTTTTAGAAGTCTCCTGGAGGGCTTTGTTACGGAACTGTTACGCTCCTGTTACGCTAAATATTTGCCCAACAATTCACACCTCTTTGCTCTTAATGTCGAATAATTAGCCTCAAAACCACCAAGAAAACCTGGAATAATATCACTCCAAATCGCCTTTGATTCCCTTCCAAACCACCTGACGAGATCCTGAATACTATTGTTGGCTTTAACATGCTTTAACGGAACTTTAGTGGGACCAAATAAAACAAGGTTCTAATAAAGTAAATGGTGGTCATTGTCTCCAATTCTATATGAACAAGTTTAACGTTTATCGGGCATCATCAGTAAAGGCTTCTGCCTTCTTGCGGAACGGCGCCCTCCTTTCAGCGGAAGCATTGAGTGGCGACCTACCTTGGCTGGCGACGTTTCGACTGCCGACCTGCTACCGGAGAGCTAGCAGCTATTCGGTGTTTCAGCGTTCCTGGCGCCTTGAGGCGCCCCGAGAATCCCTTCAACACAAGCATGCGTCAAAGCATCTTAAAGCAGTGTTTTGCATAATTTTCAGGCGCCAATCGGTGGCGGAACTTTCGGGGATTTGGGCAGAACTTTCCAGACTCTGTTTGCGCAGCTTCTGCATGCTCCTGCTGCATATTTGTAGGCAAAATTCTGCTCCTTGTCAGAGTTGAACGGTGCAGTGTGGTTACATCTAACGATCTATGAAAACCAGGGTGCATCTCATTTTCACTGATTAATGTCGAGTGGGCATGTCTCCTGACATCGCAATTTTGTATCAATCGGGACCTTGACTGGCAGTTCGTCTTTTTGCTAGCAGCCTTCCTTCTTCTCCAATTGCAAACGCTTTTGCGGAACTCAACATCGGCAAAACAGTTCGGCCACGCTGAACCAGCTCAGAACAAAAACGCGTGCTACAATGTCTGGAATCATGTGGGACATTGAAGCAAATACATGCAACATCTCGCCAAATACTCTCAATTAATCGCACCGTGAGATGAGATTCTACACACACACATTACACGCTCGACCTGCCTCAGTTTCTTGATATGCTTCAAGAGATACTGCATGACTCCCAAGTGACCATTTTGAGCAGCAATGAAGAAAGCTGTGGCCCCACCAGCACCCGTTGCTTCAATGTCCGCCTTTTGCTTGCACAAGAACTTCACCATTGCCTTGTGCCCATTTTGCGCAGCAACGTAGGCAGGGCTTGTTCCATTCTCCAAAGAGAGCTGCACATCAGCCGTCCATTCAACCAACAACTTGGCCACATCCAAATGGCCATTTTGAGCTGACACAAAAAGAGGAGTTGCAAGGGTGGACATCGCTTTGTTGACGAGAGCTCCATAGGACAAAAGGATGCTGGCCGAGCTCTGGTTGCCATTCTGCGACGCGATCAGAAGCGGCGTCGCTCCGTCATTGGCTGCTACGTTGGGTTCGGCCCGCGCATCGAGAAGCAACTTGAGCGACTTATCGCAACCCTTCTGAGCCGCAATGTAGACAGGCGATGCGCCTCCTGCCGTCCTTTGTTCTAGACTTGCCTTCCAGGAAAGAAGCAGCTGAACAATGTCAGCATGATTGTTCCTCAGAAACAACACAGGGTTAAGTTGCTTAGTGAAGGTCTCGGTTGATTGAACAAACACTTACTGAAGGTCAAAACTTGTCGTTGAGGCCAAGTTGCTGGGCCGCAATGAACAGCGCAGCTGCACCGGTTCGGTTAGGAATGTCGAAGGAGCTTCCAGCGATGAGAAGCATCTCCACGACTCCATAGTGACCCATTTGGGAGGCTATGAAAAGGGGTGTAGCTCCATCAGTCGTCCGAGCATCCAAGTTAGCCTTCGATTCCAGTAGGAATGAGACAAGTTCTGTATGCCCGTTTTGGGCGGCAACGTACATTGGAGTTGCTTCTGTGTTCAATGCCTTGTCCACCTCGGCTTTGTATAACACCAAGAATTTGGCCGCGTTTAGCCAACCATGTTGCGCAACAATGAAGAGTGGAGTGGCACCACCATTGTCCTTGGTGCCAACAGCTGCGCAGGTTTGTTGAGGGGGCCCGCCTTTTTCAAATGGTGCTTGCTGCACGATTGGGAACCAAAAGAATGGACCACTCAAATAGCCCATCCACACACACCCATATATTGGGAGTGTGGCTACAGTACAACGCTCCAAGAAAACAGTATGTTACTGATGGGAGACTGGATGTTAGCAACATGGACCTATTGTTAACAACCCCCATGGTATAACTATATGACTCTTTCTCCAAAACACTATTGGAATCCAGAACCACCTGAAACCACCATAAGTGTTCGATCTGCGATCGTCCCTGGTTCTTTGGTGCTGTAGCCTTCCATCAACAATAGGGCCGCAGTTTTTGATATCTAAACAACTCGGGTTTCGTCCCACGAAATGCGCCTGGCGGCTGTCCATCATATCACAATCTCTGTTTGCTGAACACCAATCCACAACACATTGCAACAAAATGGATTTGAGATGGGGTGGACATCGCTTGAAACTACAGCCGACTGTGCTTAACTTCAGAAAAGGAAACCATCCAAAGACCCCTTCATAGGACAAATAGTGACAAATACATCTATATATACAATGAACACTCCTTGGTTGAGGATTTTGAGGGATTATCATGCGCATTCATGTGCTTTGACATAATCAACTCACTTTGGTCCAGCGTCTGCCTGGGTAAAGTCGGCGCATCCCAATTCCAAGATCTCCAGCTTTGGCAGGTCACCGTTCCGACTGGCCTTAAAGGCTGCGGTCTCGCCTCGATCATTTGTCACATTCGGATCTTGAAAGTTCTGCAAGTGACCTGACGCCGGTGTGGCTCTGATGCACCAGCACCGAAGGGGTGGAGCATACCACGGTTGGTTCGCATGGATCGGAACATGTAGCTTTAGCTGGGGGGAACATGTTCGCATTTTTGCTTAGGAACGAAAATTCGTATCCTGCATCACGCGGCGTGCTGGGAGAGGAATGGGGGTTGGAACACACATGGTTTTATATGATGGTATTCACATATCGCCTGTGTCTGACTATATTTGCCACTATCATATCACCTGCGTCACCAGGACCTGAAAGGCAAACAAACGACTCCTCTCAACAGTTTAATGTTGCGGCTGTGAAATTGTTGATAGATGTTGCTATCATATGCAACAGTTGGTTGCAACTTTAGAATCTGTTGTACAATTTGTATGTGAGGTACACTAATTTGGAATAATTTGGACACCTTGAGTAATGTACAGTTTCAAGGGGTCACAAAATCTATAAAACCAACAACAATGCTTGCAAGTTGTAAGAAAGACACAACTAAACAATTTGCAAGAGGGTCCCAAATAGAGTGATTGCAAACAATATGTAATGTGTTCATTCTGTTCATTCACTTCATGCTGCCTTCATCTCTGAGCTTTGTGTTGATCATGCACATTACACAGTTTATGGTATATATATATGTTCACTCGATTTTTGTCACCTTGAAGTTGTACATTTTTGGGGTGTGAATTGTTCAGGGGTCCAAGCTACATTGATTGAAGCAATGTGTAAAGCTTCACAAGGGGCGACAAATATGTCCAAAGATGCTTGCAAGTCAATCATGGTTCATAAATATGCAATGTGCAAGAGGGTTTAGAAATAGAGTGACTACAGCTACTTCTCTTGTCTATTCACCCACTTCATGCTGCTTTGACCGCTATAAAAAAATTTTATTGTGCATGGCCATTCTATTTTTGGAGCCCCTTGAACATGTACAATTTCAAGGGGTCGAAAAATAACATCCAACAATGCTTGCAAACTGCAGGTAAGACATAAATAAACAATCTATCAGAAGGTAAAAAATAGACTGGTTAAAAGGATAGAGAATTTTTTTAGTCATATTCGTTCGCTCTCTCTCTCTCTCTCTCTCGCGCTCACTCTCTCTCTGAGAGCCACTGATCCGGGCGGTTGTCGTCGCGAAGCGACCCAAATACTAATACGTGTATACTGTAGGGTGCAGTGGTAAGGCATCGTGAACAAGCGATAGTTTCCTTTGAAGTTTTCAGCAGTCCTGCCTCGTATCAATTGATCAGCCTCGGCGCCTTCCTGCCCTGCCAGCTTCAAGAAGTCCCTCGTCTGCTCCTCTGTCTCTAGGTTTTGCGTGGCAAAGTTTCCAAGGGTGATTGTCACACGCCCTGGCTTGCCCAAAGCTTCCCACGAACCACCCTGCAAGACCTTCTCTCCTTGTTGACGCACCAAACAGTCGGCAAACAACATGTCATGTGATGGCTACAAGGGCTGGTTTCTTACAAAATGTTTGGCTGACCAGTACAAATTCACTCTATAAAATTTTTGTTGCTTGGTAATATTCCTGCAGAATCACTATTATTTGGTTGTAGCCGGGCATTTTGTAGTCAAAGGGGTTGGGGCCCGAAGATAGAGAAAGTTGACGTCGGGTCCTTTCATTCTAAACCATTTGTGGCCGAAACGAAACCCAGCCTGAGAAGCTACAAAACAAAAGCCAGCGTTTCTTGTCCACGAGCACGTTGTTGGCCAAAGGCAGCATGCAGCATCGCACACGGCGTGCTTCCGTGCACCCCTACACACCACCTACTTTCGAGTGTGCTTTCTCAATCTTTCTCAGGCCACCCCCCCGAACCCCCCTTCTTACTCAGCTGGCGCCTTGCCAGGTATAGATACCCAGGGTAGCTACAATTCAGTTACCAGGTATAGTACTTCAAGTTCCCTTTCCGTCAACCGCTCGATAACCTTTACCCACGCACAGCAATCCACAGCTTTGAAGTCTCATTCGTGCTTTGAACTTATATGTGTGTAAGAGGTGTAGCAACATAGCATTTATCTACACCTGGCAAGGCACCAGCTACACCTTACCATTCAGATGATGCAAATGATGCAAATTGCATTTCTTGCATCACCACCCTCTCAAAAATCACAAAAACTCAACCTCAAAAACCTTACCCAATTTCGAGTTTACGTGGTACTTTCTCGGGCCAACCCCCGCAGACCCCCTTCTTACTCACTTCGTTCGCCAAACACAACTCAGCTGGCGCCTTCTACGAAGGCTGGCTTTCGTAACAAATCAAACCAAACAAACAACCAAACCATCCAACCAAACAAATAAACAACAGAACTGGGATTGCCTCTTTATAAAATGCCTGGGCAGGATTTCATATCACCAGATGTCAATAAAATCAGGGATTCTCGAAACTCTGTGGGTAGGATGAGGCAGGGGAAAGGTTTGGAGGATTGCAGGCAGGAATCCTTTTATAAAATGCCTGGGGCAGGATTGCAAAGGGGGGCCTCTGTATAAAATTCTTGGGACAAGCGCCGCATCACCAGATTTCTGTAAAGTCAGGGATTCCAAGAAGTCTCTGGTTAGGAAGGGGCAGGGGGAAAGGGTTTGCTGGAGGATTGCTAGAGTATAAAATGCGTGGGTCAGGTTGCAAAGGGGTGGCCTCTTTATAAAATGCCTGGGAAAGACGTATCACCAGATTTCACTAAAAAATCAGGGATTCTCATGGATTCTCGAAACTCTGAGGGTAGGATGGGGCAGGGGAAAGGTTTGGAGGATTGCAGGCAGAAATCCTGTTATAAAATGCCTGGGGGAGGTTGCCAAAGGGGTTGCCTCGTTATAAAATGCCTGGGACCAGTGTCGCATCACCAGATTTCTATAACGACAGGGATTCCAGGAAATCTGGTTAGGAAGGGGCGTGGGGAAAGGTTTTGCTGGAGGATTGTAGGAGAGAACTCTCTCTATAAAATGCCTGTGGCAGGTTGCAAAGGGGTTGCCTCTTTATAAAATGCCTGGGACCAGTGTCGCGTCACCAGATTTCTGCAAAGTCAGGGATTCCAGCAAGTCTGTGGGTAGTGTGGGTAGATGAGGCAGGGATTGGCAAAGGACAGGTTTTTTTCTGGAGGATTGCAAGCATGACTTTTTTCTCTAGAATGTCTGGGGCAGGTTGCAAAAGCTGGCGCGATTGCTGGGGATGTTCCTGGAGATGGTGATTGTGGAGCTTGATCTTTGCTCTCCCTGAAATCAGCTGGTCTATGATTTGGAAAAGAAGATTAATATAAACGTATATATAAAAATGCATATAAATGCCAAACAAATCATGATAGCAAAACAACATAATGTTTTATAGCTTTTTTTTTTCGAAGGCATCGAAAGCCTTACAAAATGACAGGCTTTCTCACAAAATGCATCTGTTACAAAATGGATGGCGACAACGTTGATACATAACGACATTTCCACCACAAAATTCTTACAAAGTTTGGGGCCTAAACGTCATTTCCCATTGGCTCTTACAGAATGGTTGGCCTAAACGCCTTTCCTTTTGTTTTAAAATTAAAAAAACTACACACTCGCTGTTATAAGGGCCTTAAGGTCACCCATTCTGTAAAAGACATCTTGACGTCGATCTATGAATATATTTCACCGTCAGCATGGCCCGAGACTCCATCAATCACTCGAATTGTGAAATAGGACACTGATTGACCTTGCAGTTGGTAGTATTCCCGCAAATGCTGCCTCACGCAATGGACAAAGTCTTGCTGAAGATTCAATTCAGAGATGGGAAGCGCCATCTCTTCTCCGCTCAAGCTCGCAAGCGCCACAAAACCGAGAAGAGACTGCCACTGTGCTCTTTCTTCTGTCATCTCAGGGACCAAGTCTATGGGCGCATTGCCTCCGGCGTCTCTGATGTCAATCCTGGCCTTCTCCTGGACCAAAAGGCTCGCATCTTCAAAGCGTCCGGCAGCAGCATGGCGGTGCAGGGCCGTTTGGCCGTTCTCATCTGCAGAATTGATGACAACGTCCGGGACAGAATTGATGACACTGTCAGGGATGACAATGTCAGGAGTCGAGTCTTCTGCGCTCAGGCTATGATGCGCTATGATGTCAGGGGTCGCACACATGGATGGCACGTCCAGTACTGCACCGCACTGAAGACGCGCCACATGCGTCATGGCTTCGCCGAAACGTATCCGCTTCTCACGTGCCAAACGAAGTACTCGGCTGGCCACATCAGCTTTTGTCCGGCAAAGCATGGTCGTAAGTCTAGCGTTGTTGCCCAGCACAGCCATGGTCAGCGCATTTTGTAAGTTCTGCGGTCTGCGGTCTGTCTCATTGACATCAGCCAGCGCAGCGATGAGCTGTGCCTCACGCATTTCATGGGATTTCTCACGGATTTTTCTGAAACAAATTGGTGTGGGTCCAAACACGGAGCCCCAAACCAGGGTAGGTTGACCTCCCAGGTAGTCTATTCTGTTCATTCTTGGCGGTCAACCAGGGTGTCCGGATTTTGACCCACAGCCAAATCACTTCTACGGGGATTCTAACGGACACGCTGTCACACACTACACCACTTAACTGGCTTGGGTTTGGTCGGGGTGCTATCATCAGATCGTCAACCATGAAGTCTGCATAGTAGTCGACGATGTCTGCGTAGCATTCGACGATGTACCGTACCTCCTTATAGTCCTGATCCAATAGATGCTTGCATCATTCATCAAAGCGCAAACCAGGACAGCTACTTACTATACTTGGTCGCTTGAAATGCAAAGACTTGCAAGTGCGACTATGCAATCAGAACGAGCACTACTTTCCTTTAGCAGTTTGCACAAGCTTTCGCGCACGCTTTCACAAATGCAGCGAAAATCAGCGAAGCCTTGGAAACAGGCTCGCAAAGTTGCCCAAAGAATTCAATGTTAACTTACGACACTTATACGTGTTAGTTTAATCAGCTATAATCAGCGCCCCAAAAAGAACATATGGGCGATTATGGGCGTTCCTTGCACAGCATCCCAAAAGAGCCTGAAGGATTCGAATCCATGACAACAAAGCGCTGCACTCTGGTCCCTGTGACACTGTGTAAACAAATACCACGGCGCGTCGATCTCCAAACGGCCAAACCCAACGGCCCTAGGCCCTAGGGTAATGTTCCATCAATTTGTGGAAGTGTAGTTTCCGCTTGTTACGCCACGCTCAGCCCTCAAGTGACAGGAGTTCAGCTCGTTTCACACCCCGACGGCCGGCATCTGGACCCAACGGTCCTGGGCAGCGAGAGAGAAGATGTCCATGTGATCGAGATCTGCTCTGTGAGCAACAACATCAGTAAAGTCCTCCAATCCAGCCATCCTTTCTACGCTGTCGCCATCACTGACGGAGGACTCTTGGGCTTCGAAAGCGCACTCTTCGCCCAGTTCGACAGAGCGTCTATCGTCTGGACCCATGGCGTCGAAATGGCGTTGAACGGGAAACCCGCGCGGTGCCGCGTGCGAAGGCGTCTTTCGTCTGCGCCGCATGGATTTGATTCGTTCGCTTGTGACTTATGATGATCTGCTACAGCTTGAGGCGTTCTGATGCTACCCCACGGGTTCTCCAACATGATTTCATTCTCCGAGGGGTTCTGACTGGTCAAACTTGCCCCTCCTGGTCAAGGCTTCGGAGCCAGCGGAGCATCCAACGGACAAGTATCCAACAACTCGGAGATACTCAGAGTGGTCGCGCGCAAAACTTGTGCATAAGATTGCATAAGACTCTTTAAACTTTCTGCATGAACGGCTGTCGGCCACCATCAGTGAAATCAGAGCAGCGTCTTTCAATAACTACTGTGTGCAATGTGTTTTTCTTGTCAGGACATCAGCCAGCATATGTGATCATCGTTGTCTTCAGCCTCGCTTCAAAGCCAAGGCAACACGATCCACCTGGGCCATGCGGGGTCCGTTACTGGGTCGGGTAGTGTGTGTGATTGTGTGTGTGTTCTTCTTCTCCACTAGAAGGTGTAATCAGAACATAGAACACGGCCTGTAACGGAGTTCTATGAACAAACTACGAAACAGTCGATGTGTTTGCACTCATCTTAGCTGGTTGCTCGGCACATGAACATCATGACATAGATTTACATATTGAAACTGGAGTCACCAAGAACTGGAATCCGTACAGGATTAAGTGAAACAACGCACCGCGCTCAAACATGGACTAGGCTCCTGAAAGCATGCGCAAAGACATCACGAAAGGGCTTTAATTTGTGAATCCAATGGTTCTTTGGGGGGTCCTTCCTCAAGTGTGGGGGCTACATAACCCCTTCTACAGCTGTCCGGCTCTGTGCTCTGCACTCCGCGAGGAAGCTGCACGGACGCCAGGAGATTCTGCCCTGGGCGCAGCACACCTCAGCCAAATGGCGGCAGCGCGAGGAGGGAGCCATCAATCCCTTTTGCCATGTTTCGTTTTGCGAGGCACGATCATGTTAGATTGCATGATCTACAACTCGCTTTCAAGAAGTCTCATCCGGAGAGTTGCAGGGAAATGCAAGCAAACGCTGAAGGGTGAGTGATAAGGCTTCAAGGAGCACATTTAGGACACAATGAGACAATGACAAACCGCACAGTTGCACAGCAACATGAAGCGGATTGAAGGTGCGCTCAAGTTGGAACATGAACTCGATTAAAACTCTCCAAGGACCACTAGTTAGTATCCTCACAAGGAAGGCTCCACATCAAGAATGGCCCTAGACCACCAAGCTTTCCTGGACTGATTCCCTCTTAATTATCAGTGGAACTAACAGCCTTCCCTTGTGCACATGGAAGGGATGACACCCACACCTACCCGTTCCCGAATGAGGTCCTCACATCCTGGCGCTCAAATCACCGCCGTGCCGGATTGGTCAGCGGCCCTGGCGAAAATGAAATCACATCAGTTTAATGATTTTGACATATAGAGCACAAAAAACTGAACTGTAGAAAAAAGAAGGAAAGAGTATGAAAAAGAGTGAGCGACAAAAGAGAATGAACTATGTACAGTATTGAAATATATTGAAATGAACTATGTATTGTATATTGCATCTTGTATGTGTCACCTCTTGCGCAATTCATGCCAGTGCCTGGACAGGCACAATCTGTATTTTGCCATGGCTCGAATCATGCCTAACTAGGCTTGCAGCCCACCCCAC